TTACACTGCCCTGACCTTGTGTTGAATGTTGTTCTCCTGCCCACCCCAGTGACATACTGTAGACATGCAAGATCTATTGTTTGTTTCTGTTTCCGGTTCGGCGCGGTACCCCTGTGATGTAGTATGCATAGCCTATTTGTGACTGCTCTTCTAACCTGCAATAGCAGCTACAGTACCATTAGCTTCTTTTTAGAGGACAGCTGTATTGAGAAGTGTACAGTAGATATTCTCTTAGATACATGTATGTGACTGGTCATTTACAGGGATGACTCTTGAATATGAAGCAGCCTTTTCATCAGTGTCACTTGCTGCATTTTTTCCTGGTTTGTTGGGAAGTGGTTGGATCACACTTGTTACTGCTAAAAAAAGTGGTTAACACTGTGGATCACTATGGATGTGTTCAATGTTTAATTTTCAGTCTTTCAGTTAAATCACTTCCTCTTAGCTCAGCTGAAGACGGTACACACTAGGTAAATACATTTTAAAGAGCAGAATTTTACAGGTGTACACTGTTTTCAGAGGAGTTACGGTCTGCACTAGTTTTGGTTCCTCTTGGAAGGTAAAGTTGACCTTTGATTACCTTTAGAAAAGTGCTATATTTTACCAGCTTCCTGTGTATGTGAAGTTCTCATTTGCAAATTGTTTTGACCTATGCATGCTCAACTAATACTTATGTCAAAAGCATTCATAGCACAAGCTTATTTTCCTATATTCCAGACTAGTTGTAGACGTCATTAGTTTGTGAGATCTATTGCAAAATCTGGTAAGTCTTAAAATGCAACCGCAAAACCCAAACTGCATCATCTTTTAGCTACTGTTTTCAGCAGCCAAAGAGCTGTCATCCAAGATGCCCAGACACTGCTGTTTTACTCCATTTACAGACTCAGGAGTGTGAGGAAACTGTGGTTAGGCCTCTGTAACTGTGGTCTCTGTCTCTTGCACACTGTTCTCATGCTTCTGTGTTTATTACTTGTCCCTGACTGCCACAGTGCATTGTGTCATTTGTTGCTCAGCTTTGTGAGTCAAGAGTGCCTATTGTTCAGGGAATTGCACAGTTTTTTTTAATGGTTTTACAGTGTTTGTGCTCTAATTCTCCTATTGCAACAGAGGTCTTGTGACTTTAAGTCCTAATGGTCAGCTGATTGATCCTTGCCAAATGTTTTCAAGACCCGTGAAAAGTTTTTGGACAGGGGCCCAAGAGAAATCAGGGTCTGTTGTCTGAGTTGCTCTTTTGTGATCCTTTGAAATTGATCAGATTTCTGATAAGGCATTAGAATTATTTCAAGTTTTTATGTTAACCTAAGCCTTTTAACAAAATCAAGAAAATAGTACAAAATTCATGCATGGGTATTTTTACAACCAATCATAAAGCAACCAAACCTGGTCTTTTAATTACATTTTAGGGTTTTCTTTATTGTCTTACAGGAAGTGATAGCACTATATCATACACGCCATAGTGCTATAAATATTCATTTGACAAGATCTGCAAAGGTCATAAACTATGGTTTATGGTCCACTATGGTTTAGGACTGTATTAATGATAACCACCATTTAGTAAAAGCACTGCTCTCTGCAGCGACATCACAAGTGAAGTTGCAGATAATATGTTTAATATGTATGGCACAGGAACACTGTCATAAACTCATAAAAGTCACGAACCAGTCTGCTCAGAAATGTGAACAACTTGTGTGTACTGTAGATGCAAATTAAAGAGGTTAAATGCACCGTAGCTTCGTGCTCTGACTTCTCTCATCTCAGTAAACCCTGGTATTGTAGATTTAGATGTGTTCCTAATTTTTTTCCGTTTTGGAGTCTGCTCTGAGAATACTAATCCTATTAAAACAGCATGTGAAATGAACAAATGTTCCAAGTTGTACCGAACTGCGTGGTTCAATGTACTTGAAATCTTGAAAGCTGCCAAAATCCTTATGGCCCTTTTTTCCGTTAGTTCCCGATATATTTACATTAAGACAACAGTCAGTGCAGGCGACATTTGAGAGATACCACAAGTACAGCAACAATTGCCCTAAAGCAAAAGGAATCATCACCAAAATAATGGAATTTATAGATAACCAACCATTTTCGGTTTTTGGAGATGTAGGATTCTGCCCCTTGATATCTCACCTATGCCTTTCCTGGTCGGAAATACTTTTCAGGTTATGGGATTTGGTCATCTTCCTTAGATAAAAGAACTGTTAGACTGCAGCTTGTTACTTCACGTGAGTTGGCTGCAACAGTCGTGGTCTTACTTGTTCATAAAACAATTTTAGCCGTTACCATCTTTTGCGTCTTTGGCTGAATAGTAACACCCTAACCACCCACCCCCGGATCGTATCAGTATCGGCCGATCCTGCTGACAGAAAAGCAGAGATCAATATGGGATTCACAAAACATTGATAGGTCCATCTCGACATATAAGTGTAATTCTCCTTTTCATCACAGCCGAGTTTGATAATGTGTTTCTCTTTTATAAATATATGCATGTATAAGTAACAATTACACATACTCAAGGAGTTGAATTAGCACCATGCCAAATTTGATCTGTCTATACCAGGTCTTGTTTTGTATCCACAAAGTCTCACTTAACCTTATGATTTTTTTCCTTTTTATTTTGAATTAATTGAATCCATTGATGGTTATTAATTTATGAAATGCCCCATTAGCCTGGTAAATGAGGTATGAAAGCACATTTTTTACAGCTAATATAGTTCTTACTTTTACATAGGTACTGTACACCCAGTGAAATTGTAATTTAAGTTGAGGACTGCTTTAAAAAATGAGTCATATGGAGCTACAGTAGATGAGGGAATTTAGGTTTATGATAATATTAATTTGTTACTATTAATTTTAATTTTGTAGTGAAACGTGGCCATACGAGAACAAAGTAAAAAATCATCTAAGTTGTACAGATCGTAAATTAGCTGTGGAGTTTTAGCAAAATACCCAGACTGAACTGGAAGCTGTTCTAAAGTGTAGTGTCCTTCAAGGGTGTTTTGGACATGTAGCACTGCTATAGTGTCTTACAGATTATAACTTTCATGCATTAGGAATGGCTTTCTTTCACTTTTGACATTTATCAGATGTGTTCCTTAATATAATAAGTTTTGGAGGCTTTGTAAAAAGTTCTGTAGTGTGTTTTTTCCAGGTAGTTATTACCTTCATTGCAAAAGCAAAAAACTGGAAATGTCATTCATCAAGTGCTTTGTAATCAGTTCGTTTGAATTGAGTTCAGAGAAACTTACCACAGTGCTCAGCAATACTGAAATGCTATGGTATTTCCATTGGATACAATATGTTTAGGTTAAGGCTCCTCTCACATACACCAGCACTCAGTGGCAAACTAAGAAACTGAGGCCTAATTCAAGCAGTATTGTGTGCATACACAGTGCTGAAAACAGGACTGCAATGTTTGAGAGAGCTACCTGAATTCTGTGTACTTTCACTTTAAATCTTGAGGTAAAAATAATGTATATAAATACTTTTTATTGTGCAAATCCATTTTCACCATGAGAAGGTGTTTTACATAATCAAAAAATGTAAATACCAGGCAATTATTTTGTCCAATTGTATTAATTGATACAGCACCTCTTTAATGTACTGCAGTATATATATATAAGCCCTAGGTGGTAATATGCTAACAGAGTTGACAAAATAATTATCTTATCTACAGTGCTTAATATGCTGTCATGATCCCATAAAAAATGTTTCTTAAACAAACTTGTTTACTTGGCTTGCTTGAGGGAGACTTTTTTTAAATTCCTAGAGTTTGATTGAGATGTATTTAACCTGTGGCTTTTGTTCTCTGCTCCAGTCTTGCCAGCGTATTAAGAATTCGTTATTACTCATTGCATTGAACCAAGTGGTAAAAGAATTGAATGATGAACAGAATCGCACAGTAACGTCCTGTAGTTCATAATTGTTCTGTTCATGCGAGAAAGATTCTCTAGAACATGTCCAGATTTTGGAGGTAGTTGTATAACTATATCATTTAGGTGGGTAGCTGCGTCGGCATGCGTAGGCTGCAAAGGAACAAGTAATAGGTTTATTCCATGCTGAAAAAAAGAAGAAAGAGAACTCAACATTTTGGCCGTGGAGCCCTGAAGAAGGCTCCACGGCCGAAACGTTGTTCTCTTTCTTCTTTTTTTTCAGCATGGAATAAACCTACTATATCATTTATATATTTAGGTCACGTTAAGTGCAGATTGTTGAATTGTTTTTGGAATTATTGTTAATAACTAATAACAATGCAGCCATTTTATGCTGGTAAAAAGAGAGTTGAAAAGAATACTGTACTGTAGAATAAATTTACACCCCAGCGGCCCCTAATAGCCCTATTTTTTAACCACTGATTTTCATACTACTGTAACGCCTTACCAGGGTATCACCTAAGACTAATATTGGCTTCATTAAACTAATATTGCCACAGAAGTCTGTGGTTCATGTGCTGACTAAAACATATTATGACCTATGTAAATAGAATTGGCTCCCTGTGAAATCTGAAATTTTTATTTTTAAGTTTTCCTAGGTACATAGCAGATAGTAAACAGTCTAGTTCCAGGTCAGACTCTTAATCTGAAATTCTTCTGATTCGGGTCTTCCTGTCCTATGTAAGACTAACCTCCACAGAGTGGAAATCTTTTTTTATTGTAGCATTTAGTTTTCTTTTAGTGTTGTTTTTCTTCAGTCATTTCATTGTGCTTTATTTTCCTTCAATGTTGTTTTACACGTAGTACAGCACTTTTGAATTTTCCAAAAATCGCATGTATATATTTATGTTTTAGAAGAATCAAATGAAAAAGAGTTTTCCATATTAAAAAAAAAAGTCCAGAATGAAGAGAGAAATTACAGTAGCAGTGAATGCTCAATGGAAACAGGAGGTTCCCTATATCAGGACAATAGCAGTGTGCACATGAGTGAAATAATTGTTTAGATGGCTGAATCATTTTCTGTGTTTTTAATGGATGCTTTCAATAACTCCGTCCCTTCTCCTGCCCCTGCAGGGTCGTCATGTCAAGACCGGCCAGCTTGCTGCTATCAAGGTCATGGACGTCACAGGGGTAAGGCTGCTTTCCTCTCCTCCACAGTCAGGCTCCTTATCATTTAAGTCGTGCTGATTATTAAAAGGATTGTTTTCTGTAATGGAGGAAAGTCTTGATTATACAGAGCCCAAGAGCTACATTAACTATACACCATGTCTTATGCATTTGGTTCATTTTTCAAAGGTTTAGTGCATTGCAGCAAAAATGAGTTACCAGCTAATTTCACCATTATTATTTGAAATCCTGTTTATTATTGTACATGGTCTAACTTAGATGTCAGGATTCACCCATAGCAGGGGAAAAAAAACTATCACATGAATACAGGGAAGAGGCAAAAACAAAACCAACATGGTTTTAATTGAAACTAAGCCATGATTCAACAGAATACCTTCATGTTTTTGAGCCTGTAACATTTGTGGAACATTATTGGCTTTCTTGTTTGCTCTGAATGAACAGAGTAATGGCAAAGTATGAGGGGTTTTCACCTTCCCTTGTATACTTTCCTCAATGTCACACAAAGCAATTCCTAATTTAAATAGCGCTTTGTGGATAAATGATGAACCCCTGCTGATTTCTGCCTTTTTTTCTGCCTTGCATTTAGGGAAAAAAACACCATGTTTTATTTATATGTGAATCTTTTTCCTTGAATACACAAGCACGCCAAATTTAAAACATTCTATATGGTGTGTCCCCCAGTCTCCTTCATGAAATCCCCTCTATTCTAGACAAGGTTATTGCCCAGCAATGCTTTTTCACAGCCTTGTTAATAACTGCCATAATTTTAATTTGAGAATACCTAACAAAATACAGGTTAAAGAAGTCTCACATTTTACCCTTTTCAAAATATTTATCTGGTATTCAGTTACATGTTTGGTTGCATAGGTTATATAGTAGTTTTCCATTTTCAGTTGCCTGAGTTAAATTGGTGTCTGTAATCAGATCTTGACTACTGCTCAGATTTTGACCACCATCAGTTTCTTTTAGACATTTCTTCACTGACACTTTCTTTTTTACCTGTCTAATAAACAAAATGTGAAGAAAGCTCTGATATCTCCTACAGAATGTCTCTACAGTGAGCAGTGAGCCATTATGGAGCCTTGATAATAACCTCTTTCACTCGCATTTTTCACATCATGTGATGATGGCAAGTTGTGACTATTTCAAGCATTCAACCCGCCAGATGGGTTTTCTCTCTTCTGCAGACACTTTTCAATAATTTATGTCTTTTTCATGAGTGCCTCTTTAGAATATCATTTCTGAGTGACAAGTTTGAGCTCCTTTTTCCTTTCTGTCATATTAGTTTAAATGCCATGAGCCGTTCTTAAGCTCATTGTAGAGTCGGCTACGTCCTCAGACTTGGACACTTACTTGCATCCCGGCTTCTATTGGTGCTTTCACACTTGCCAGTAATTTTCCATGACATTTAACGTGCCAGCACATCACGACCATTCTTACATTCTATATTCTGATGGTGGTTTTATGAAAGAGCTGTCATGATGTTTTAATGGGGCAATGTGGATGTATCTATTTTTATTCCCCCTCCCCCGATATTTTCTTTTTACTGCTTTTTTAAAACTTTTTCACAGATTGCTGGATCCAGCAGCTAGCTTTTTGTAGCTTATTGGAAGTGACTCTTATTATTCTTATGGTCTAGTAGGCATGCAGTGATTAATATGTTTGATTTCCTTCTAGCTTCTCTCTCTGCTAATTAGCTCCATTGAATTTTTAGAGAGGTGTAAGTCTTTCATGTAATTTTCTTTGGTTTTGTTTTTCCCCTCCACTAATGCCATTTTTAAATTTTAAATGCTGCTGGTCATCTACAATCAGCCATTTCTTCACTGTTGAGTCTGCGCTGTTCTGTGTGCTGTTCAGCAAAATGTGTCTAGTCTGTAGAAATGACAAGAAATACTGTGTAGTACGTGACCTGCCAGCTGCCCGTGATCTTACTGTTCTGTACTGCAAATCTAGACTGTTATTTATTGGGTTTTTAAAGATCCTTCCCGATTTCTGTCTGGGTGGCAGGTTTTGCTAATTAGATCTGTAAGCTCTCCTTTGGTTACTGGCCCCTTTTATAAACACTGCTGCTTGGGAAGGAGGAAAGATTTGCAGTATTCTGTTTTTCCAGTATCGAGTAGTTAAAACAAGCTGCAGACTGCCAGCAATAGAATGGATTTGCTCATAGGAATGGCTATTTTCAATCCAGTCACCTATGTGTAGGGAAAGAGGCAGTCATGCAGTTTCCTTAATTGCTGTAAAGCAGAAAATGAAAGCTTCAGATGTAGTTAAGCCCTGCATTTAATCTGTATCAAGGGACAGTCTTGTGTGACTAGAGACCACAAGAGCAAAATATGCCAAGGCTAATGGCTGTGTAATTTAGAAATGCTGCACTTTAACCCCCAGGACAAATACAGACACTGTCTCAAGATTGTAAACATCAGCTTTGTGAAATGTATAAAACGGAGCCAATGAAATTTATTTGAAAGCATGATTTCAGAAAACCATAGCACATTATTTCTTTATTCTCTTATCTGGCGTTGTGCCATGTCTCTTTTCCACATTATTTTAGTGTTACCTTTGATGTACTCCAAAATGCATTCTAATATCAGTAAACCAGTTTTCCATCCCATTACATTACATTTCAGTGGCTCACACTTCATAAAAATCGAACTGACCATCATGACACTTTGTGCGTTGACCTCAATATATATTCGCCTCATGATACTGGAAGTGTAATGTTTCATTGGCTGCATTGCGCATGAAGACTTAGTGTCATTTCAAGTCTATACAGCCAGCATATCTTTCAATATTAAATGTGTTACCAATATTAGTTATTAAAACATTCCATTTGGTTTGTCAATGTTTTAGTCGTTGAATGGTATCTTTTACCGGTTTTTAAGCAATTAAAGCAAGGTGACACTCCCTAAAGCAATGCTTTCAATCACATTTCCCAGTTTTGATATTTTGTAAGAGTAATCCATTTTCCTGAGTTTTAAAAAAGATGGAAGATTTAAAGAATTTGGCAGCAGGTATGCTTCATGTGAAAAACAAGAATCTGCCCAAATCTGATGCAAATTTACAGCTGCAATCTGTTTAGCTCAGAAGAGAAATTGCTATAGGAGCCCCCATACTAATCTCTCTTTTCTACTGGCAGGATGAAGAGGAGGAGATCAAACAAGAAATTAACATGCTTAAAAAATATTCACATCATCGGAACATCGCCACCTACTATGGTGCTTTTATCAAGAAGAACCCTCCAGGAATTGATGACCAGCTTTGGGTATGTACAGTTTTTTTTAAGTGGCTGATTTTATTCTTATAATTTCTCTGAATACCAGTGTAAATTGACAAAAAAAAAGTGAAAGTAATTTGTTGGCTATGGCTGAACCTTGTGTAGATACTGAAGCACAGAGAGAAGGGGGAGAGGATTATGCGTATTTAGATAACGCAAGCCATACCATTTCAAATCTTCCCTGATATCCCTTAATGGTATCTTTTTAAGAAAAAGGATGTGGCTGATTACAAATAACAAGCAGCTTGATCTGGGAATCGGCGAAAGGAGTTACAGTGTACTGTTATGAACTGAGTCAGCCCGCCACGCAGAGGAGATGAATGATTCAGCCCCAGTTAAACGTGAGGATTAGATGTGATTCAAGCAAATAAATGAACGGCTTTGTTTCGGACACATCTGCAGTGAGAAACACGCGAGATCACGCATTGTAGTAAGCATCAACATCAGTCATTGTATGATAGATATATTTTTGATATTGTTAAAAACCTATTATAAGCTCTTGAAACCCTCTGCTTTTTCCCTCCTCTGCTTGGGTTACAACATCAAATTCCAACTGTGCACAAGAGAACACGAATGACAAGAAATGATGCTTCTTAAACCCTCCCAAGCGTGTATGAGTGATGTAGGCTTTTAAGCTGCATCTTCAGGTCACAGTGAATGAGAATCACAAATCTGAAATAAAAGAAGGAGGTTTGTAGTGTCTGGGTATGTGGTAGATATCCATTGTTTGCCTTGTTCACTGGACAGAGAGGAGTTTTGGGGGAGGGAATGGCTGATTTGTGTTAGGTAGCAAATGCATTTTGCTGTGATGAGGTTGTGCAAGGTCTTCGACATGGAATTTATTTGGAATGTTACTAAATATTGGATCCAATAATCTGCTCAGACTAGGAACCCATCAATTTTAAAAGAGCTGCATGGTGTGCTTTCATATACATTTCACATAGTTAATGCAAATGCACAGAATCCTTCCTGGATATACTCCTGCACTGGCTGACAGGATTTAAAACTTCTGTCCCAGAGAAGAAGCAAGTTGATGTATTTTAAGTCTCCCATCGATACACCTGCCTGTTGTAAGTGCTGTCATATCCCTATCCGGAGATAAACCCAGAGCTATTCATTGTACTTTTCACTGGCTGTCGGTAGAAATTGAGGGCAGTCCTGATAATCGGCAAGTAATTCCTTTTTTGTTTATCAGCGGTCGGAGCTGGGCTGATAGCAAGGTGAAGAGAAAAGGAGCTCCTTCAATATAGATAAGGATCAAGGGGAAATAAAGCTCACTTGTGACACATGTCAGTGCCAAAAGGCTTTCACTGAATGGAGAGACCTTTCAGATGAAGGGCGATGTTTCATTCAGAGTACAGGCCAGCAGACTTCAACTTCTTGTCTCTTGGTGCATCCATTTTTCTTTCAGTCCATTACAGACATTTGTTGTAGTGTAAAACCGGGATAGTGTGAGAAACAAAATCATACTGAGACACTTGAGGTCCTTAGTAAAGTTTGGTATGTGGGTTTTGCAGTATTTCAAAAGAAGATATGTTTGCCTTTCCTAATCATTTCTGTGCCATACAGTTTTCCTTCCTCTGAGCCCATTATTTAAAGAAGTGTAAAATCTGAAAAATGCTGGGTGAAAAATATAAAATACAACTTAAGATTCAAAAGTAACTTTGTAGCTCTTTGCTTTTTCAATCCTGTTTTTTAGGCATACTGTTGTAGTTTGATGGTTCTACAGTATTGCTTGTTACTGAGTTCTGGGTGTAAGTTCTCTGAAAAGAAAACACTTAAATATATTCTCTTGTGTATTTGGAGTCCTCAGAAACATTGATACCTTGGTCTGTGTTAAGACTAGTTTGCGGTTGAACTACTTCAGTGCCTACATCTCTAATTGTTTTTTTTAAAGTTACAGAAATAGTTGTGATGCATTGTAACACATGAAATGTTATGTTTGTTTTAAACTTGTTCAACATCATGTGTACATGTATGACTTCACTTCGCTCACTCATTGTGGCCCAGGAGACTTTGCTATTTGCCAATCTCTGAATTTAGTTGACGGTAAGGAAGAAATGCACAAATTATTACACATTTACAAATGCACATTTTTTCATGACACAATTAAGCTGTTTCCCAAAATAGTCCCCAAGTGAGGAATAAAATATGTGTAATAGTCAGCAGTCTTCTCTAATATCACAGTTGATCTTTTGTGCTTATTACAGCTCGAATTGTGTTATGTTATGAGTAATGTGTAGGGTAGTCTGGACAGACAATATGACCTGTGTCTCATTTTTTTTTCCTCTTCTGGTAAAGGTTCAGAACAGTGCTCTGCATTCAGATGTCGTAAATCTGAACTTTGACACTTTCTTTTATGGACTTGCTTGAAGGCACAAATTAATGACAGACTTTTAGCTTTCAAATAGTTCATGCTTATCTATCAGGAAGGACCGTAGAAGGAGTATGTCTGATAATTGCTAAATAATCTGAGTTTTGTCCCCAGCAATATGCTGACCTATTTGTTTTCCTAATTTATATGATAAGCAATACTGTATGTGGACATTGTATTGAAATGATCAAATAGACATTTCTTTCAGCTGTTATCGGTGTTGGTGAGCAGAATTCAGTGCAATAACAATAATGATCAGCCCACTCAAAGATGTACTGTAAAATCAATATTGTGATTTTTAAGTTTCATTGTGTATTATCTTTACAAAAGCATCTCTTACAGTGTGCAGTCCCAAGAACTAAGTGTTGTAACTTATGAGCCAAGTTTTAGCGTTTGTATTTGGATTTCCCTATGTGAAATTTACTAAAAGTAAAGATTAAATGGAGGTATACCCCTGCAATGTTACTAATGATGGGAGATTCAACCGAAAAAATATGTTATGGTTCAAGACACCTGCCAACAGCTCTTTTCAGCAAACCCTTTAGAAGTTTTGAATGTTTTGTGTGGGTTTACTGAAACACTTTGGCTAGCCATTGAGATCAAGACTAAAACCAGTAAAGTAAAACATCTCAATCCACCACTGAAGTCCACCACTGAAGGTTATCAAATGTAGCAGTTTGTGGGTTTTCAATGAGAGACACCTATGATTCTGTTCAATTAGCACAATGAGTACTATTATCACTTGAGGAAAAAGTATATTCTTTTGAGATGTGTTGTCTGAGTTAGTTCATATAGTTGATGAAAAACTGAGACTTGAGCAGGTTTTTTTTTAAAAAAGGAAAGTTCTTGAACTAATACAGTAGTTAAGAACGCATTTTCCCATGTAAAAACATTGCTAATTAGAAACCAGGCAATTAGCATGACTGGATTTCTTACCGATTTATATAGCATGGAAATTTGATCAAAAGCCTAAATCGTAGTCCTGTAGTAATTGTATGTTGTCTGCTAGTTTATGCACAAAATAAGGTGTGTTCAGTAAGTGGTTGTTTTCTTTTTCTGTGAGCTACAGTATATTGTCAGCCTTCACATTCCTAAGGACCTTGTTTTCTGTTTCCTGGTAGCAATAATTCCTGGCTCTCTACAGAGTTTCAGTTTGCATCTCAGAACAATGCTAATAAAGGTTAGTTTGGAATGTATGCTCTTTTAGCACACCACTTAGCCCCAGGACATTATCTAATCATTCTTTTTTTGTCAGAGAACCTGTTTTAGCAGCAACATCCATACTAACGGTGTCCCAAAATAAAGGTACTAAACTAACTAATGATCTTTTAGAGCACTGGAAATTCAAAAATAATAGCTCTATTGGTCTGTTTTGGAATATAAATGAACATGTCCCCCTCCCTCAAATTAAAAAGCTTTGTTTTTCTCTTTTGAGATCAGAGGATCTGGCATTCCAAATAGCCTACAGTATGCAATTTTTTTGTTAAATTTGTTTAATTTTGTTAAATTAAAGCCATTTGGATTTTCAAGTAACTGTTAGTACAAGCATTCATAGTGTATATATGGTGGAAATTGTTGTTCTGTATTGCCTGGACTCTCTGTATGTGTTGGATTAATTCAAAATCTTTTTTTTTTCTTTTCGTTTCTCATTTTTTCCATCTTCAAAGCTGCTTATATTGCTAATGCAAACTTCAGTCTACCAAGCAGCATATTCAAGCGTTTGCACCATATTGCCTTTTCTGCCTCTCTTAAATTTATTTTACATGTAGACACCAAGTGCTGCTACGTGTGCCCTGCTTATAAATTTTGAATGCCAGATTTTTTTAAGTACATCCTGTGCCTCCTAAGCAAATGGAATTTAATAATGAAATATCCATGAGTTATTTATCAGGGCCCGTTGTCACAGTTAGTTTCTTGGGCTGACAAAAAAAAAACAATTGCTCAATTGTCTGATAACCACTTGGAAAAATGCATAAAATTCTCTCAGAAAATATTTCCCAGTATCTAATCTGACCTCACTAAAAAGAAATGAAAATAAGCTTTTTTAAAAAAATCCAGTTGGGTTAGTTAGTGGTGTTGACATATTGTGGTCCAGTACATGAATTAACCTACAGAGAATATTATGGAATCAAACTTAAGTATATGAAGACCAGAACTATTTGTCATTTGGGGAGGGGAATGTAGTAGCTCTGCACTGCATAGAATAGTTTTCCCAAGCTATACAAAATGGGCTTTGTGATTGCCTAGCAATGCATATTAAGAAAGGCAATTGGCCCCTGTGACTCAGTAAATCATTGAGAGTCTTAAAGAAGTCCGGTACTCTTCCATTTAAATGAAAAAAGAAAGACTGTAGATTGTGATATTGGGGAAAAAATAGCAGCATTGTGTCAGCCACTGCACTGAGGAGAAGAATCTGCCAAATGATTATGAAATGTTTTCAAGGCTTTTAGTTCCAGCTGCTTGTCAGAGGTGTGGATATAAAAGCAGGATTAAGGTTTGATTATAATGTATCTTCAACAGAAACACTCCAGTGATTGGTACATTTCACAACTTAAAAAAAAAACAGATAAGTTTCTACAAAAACAATTCCTCGTCACCACACATCCCTGTTTTTAATGTTTTATACAGATCAGACTGACCCACAATTTGCATATATGTGATATAATTTAATTGAAATTAACAATTTCTACAAACATTTGCATTTAGTTTTAATCAGCTTGCTGATTGTTTGGAAACAAATACCTGTAGGTTTACTGGCATTTTGCTGTGAATATATATATATCGGAGAGACATTACACATACTCAAATACAACTTTTCCTCTAAGGCCACATGATAGCATTTTAATGTACAAAAAAGGTTAACTAAATTCTTGGAATAAAACCTTAAACCATTGCAGTTCTGGTTCAAATCTGAGATTACTGTATCATGCAGTGAATCTGAACAGTTTGCTATCTTTCCATATTCAGAAAAGTAGCCCATTTATTAAATGGGATTAAACCAATTTATAAATAACTGTCAGGGCAGTACGACTGTGCCATCTCTGGCTCCTCTTTAATTGATGTCCTCTTTCAGTCTCGTTGAGAATAATACAATTCTTGTCATGTGTGACCTTTTAAGGATGAAATAAACGTGGTAATCTTTTTTTTAGAGATTGATGTGTGGCCCTCTGTCAGATTTATTCAATTTTGCCTGATCAAAGGTGACTTCGAGTTCCTGGCAAGTTGCATGTGGGAAGACAGAAGAAAATTGTGCAAATGGATGCACATTGTTGGGTTAGGCTAGTGAACTCTAGGCCAGTCCTGTGATTTGAAGTTCATGAATTATAAGGGGTACTGTGAACAGTGTGGATTAGGAGCACGTTCTACTGCTGTTTTAGTTTGGGGGGCCTTTGCTTTCTAACCTCTTTATTAATCTCCGAAAGAACAACGGAACTGTGGCATCTTGATTACAGGGATCACCAGCTGGTATTTACTGTACTGAAAAAGAATAGTATCTGGAGGTTAGCCAAGAGAGTTGGAATACAGTCGAGAAAGATTGTCAGAGCAGCAGGATTCCATCTTGTTGCTTTTTCCTTCTTTGCCCGAAGACTGTGGCCTTGGCTACGAGTTATTCTTGAGGAAACAAATGATGAGATGTGTGGGATTGTTTCTGACTGTGGGACAGGTCATTAGAGTTCACCTTTACTAACCAGGCATAGCCCAACTAAATGTTTTAGGACTGACATCCATTTTCTGACGGCCTTACCCTGTACAGGGCTTGTGGGGAGTCACAACCGCTAAGCAATGGGTGCAGGGCAGATCACACTCAGTGCATTGCAGGGCATACAGAGACAGATGTACAGCAGTGCACACTCACACCAGGGCCAATCTTCCCAGAAGCCAGCAAGTCATATCTGTGTGTCTTTGGACTGTGGGAGGAAAGCAGAGCACTCGGAGGAAACCCACACGAATATGAGGAAAACATCCACATTCCTTGCAGAAAGCTTAACACTGCCCTTAAACAGATCTGTCAGGTTAGAATGAGTACAGCGTATTTTAGCTTACTCATTTTCTTGTAAAATTTGGATTGTAACAATTTCAGGTACCAGCAGTGTTTTTGTTTCCTTTTCAGGCTGCTCAAGCTGTGTTTACAAATCTTCATTTCATGGGACCCTGAGTTTTAAGTCTCATCATTAACATTTCTTTCTTCTGATACGTTTCAGTCTTGGAATTCTACTTAAGTCTTACTGTTTTTCATGGCTCTCGGTATTCTGCTTGTATCTGTTTTTAAACACCATGGTGTGAGGTTATTGTGACATACCGTTTGAGACTGTCTACTGTACTGGTTGCCCCAGTATTCTACAGATGCATTTGAGTAGTAATGCTCTTCCTGTTGTGTTTACCATGTACAGCTCGTGATGGAGTTCTGTGGTGCGGGCTCTGTAACCGATCTCATCAAGAACACCAAGGGGAACTCTCTAAAGGAGGAATGGACCGCCTACATTTGCAGAGAAATCCTGAGGGTAAGGAAAGGCAAAGGGACGTATTCAAGTTGTAGTCTTTCAAGATACTTGTAATTTAAAGAAAATATCCCCACCTCCCATCCTGTTCCCCCTTCTGTCTGTGCTCACTGACGCATCGCTACTCATCTCTCTCTTATAGGGTCTGACTCACCTTCACCAGCACAAAGTCATCCATCGGGATATAAAAGGGCAGAACGTCCTGTTGACGGAAAACGCAGAGGTGAAACTAGGTGAGAGGCCGGCTTTCTCTGAAATGAGCTGCCAGTAAATGTAAACCGCTTTCATGAAATTGTTGGAATGTCAAATCTGAATGGTCTCGTGAGGTACTCTGCTGTATATCTCTTTGAGGGAAGGGTTTACTCCTGAAGACAAAAAAGAACTTTGAGAACAAATGTCCATTGAAGCTTTCCAAGATGATGTCCTCATGACATTGTTGAAATGAAACGCGCCCAATAAACGAACTCTTGGTTTAACACCTGATTAAAAAGTGGGCCTTATTAATGTATTAACCGGGTAGCTCAGCATGACTCAGAATTGTGTCAGTGGCCTTGCTGGTAAATACTGTACATTAAACTTTCCAGCTAAACAAGAATGTTTGTCTTGTGTTGTTACTGTATTTAAGATCAGATACCTTCTCATCTTCGTCTTCAAGGCTGTTGCACTATTTCTATTTCTCTCCAACTGTTGTCTATGGCTTCTAAATTCCAAATGCTTTAAAAGCAGCTTCTTAATATTTCTGCGAATTAATTTTTAACTTTTTTTGGAATGAGATTAAACTGGAATTTATATTACTAATAAAGATACCATAGAGAATTGTACTTATTTTCGCATCAGAATAACATTTCTGACGTACATACTAATGCTTATCATTTTCACTAGTCTGTAAAACACACAGAGTGAAACTGTTATAAAAAATATGTAAAAATATCGGAGGTCAGTATGAGTGCAAATATGAATGTTATTGTCAGGATGCAATTTTAAGAAATTTAAGTATTTTTTTTTAAAAACACCTTTTTCATTTTAATATAGCAGTTTACCTACTAGGAAGTGCAATTCCTGATGTTAATAAACATTAGTTATTGTGGTATTTAAAACATCTGTCACAGTTTTAACACAAAATGTTGTGTACTACTTAAGTGAAATATCTGATTGGCTTCGCATTTTAGGTCAGAAATGAGTCTGTCTCGGTGCAAGACTGATAGCAGTGCTTTATAATCTGTAATCGGTTTTAATGGAAAAGGCTGTTATGTTTGCAACTTAATTTTTTGCTTACAACTGTCAGACCATCGTTTTTTTGTATCATTACACAGGAAATGTGATGACTGCAAAACAGTGTTGTTCGACAGGAAATACGACAGCTCAATGAAGCTCGTTAATTCTGCAGAGCAAGTTGATGGAGCTGATGCTTGACAGCGTAATCAGTTGCAGAATTCTTTTTAAGCCTGGAAAAGTCAGTTTTAGTTTAGTTTTTTCTTGAAAAATACAAACATTACAAAAGTAATTGGGCCATTCAGTTTTCATCGCCCTGCCTAAAGCTGAGACTTCAGTTGTTTTTGGGTATGGGAACTGCAGCTATCTGACATACTTGAGTTACCATGGAAACATAGCCTTCAGTCACAAACTATTGGCTACAACTAGGCCTTGTTAGATGTAATGCCTCCACTTTGCCTGTGGCTGTTGAAAATAAAAGGTTGATATCTTCCTGTCCTGTTACTATTCTGGACCATTGTGTTGTTTTCAGAGCTTTTTTTACATTATCTGCAATGATTTTGTCTCCAGTTGATTTTGGTGTCAGTGCACAGCTGGACAGAACAGTTGGTCGGAGAAACACTTTCATCGGGACCCCATACTGGATGGCTCCTGAAGTCATTGCATGTGATGAAAACCCTGACGCCACATATGATTTTAAGGTAACTTTTAATTCAGCTAGACGTTGTTTACGTCATCTGTTTCAGAAGAAAGACGTCTGTAGAATTTTGAGGGACCTTCTCAGAAAGCAACAAACAAATTGTACAGTACATATTGCCATGAATCATTCGTTTTTATAAGGAAAGGCCTCACAAGATCATGACCACACTTTTTCAACATCCCAAGTGGTAACATCAAAAATGCAATCGTAAGGTACACAAATCTCCTTTTTCCCATCACATATCACAGCAGTGGTGTGTCAGTGTGAAAGAGGAAGCATGGCTTTTGAACAATTTCACAGCTGACCCTGGCTACATTTCAAGTGCATTTTTCCAAAAGAGGTCTTTACCAGTACTTGAGAACTGCAGTCTGAGTGCCTGCTAATAGATAAGTGACACTTCAGACCTCACTTTGAATATTTTGATAACTCTCCCTGCTTTCATATTTCCTCAACGAGCATATTGCTGATGAGCTGATAAATAGAAGCTTTTGCATATACCAGGCTTAAAGTTGGAGTTGGGTGCCCATTATTAGTCTCTCATATTGTCTGGGGGGAAGGTCATAGGTCCATTTCCTTCATTCCAACGGTGGAGCAAAGTATGTGTAAAAGAGCTTGAGGGATGTGATTATCAGTACAAAGGGGTCTTTTTCTTTTAATGTTTCTGAGCAATTTTGAACCTTAATTCCATCTAAATTAATGTGTTCTTTCCATTGTTTCTTTCATGCGTTGTTATATAATATTTAATTCATATCCCTGATGCTAATATCACTGCTATGAACTGACTGGAAAATTTAACCTTGAGGGTGTTCAATTGAATATACTTTCAGCTTTTTGTCAGGGTTTGTTGAACTGCTGAAAATGTTAATGTCTGGTAGGACAGGTATTATAATATCAGAGCCTACAGTCACAAAGGTCATAAATGAAATGCATGTGTGTGTTCAGGAGGGAAGAAAAGTTCATTAGGTGTTTGCGGGGGTTTCACATCACACTCGGCTCAGAACTAAATGCAGTCATGCTCTTGGATGTCTAAAACTGAAATCAGCCATAGAAATCTTAAGAGTTATGCTACCTTAGATACTCTTTTTAAAGGTAATATAAGTGCCTTATTAAATGTAAAATGCCATTTTCAAATTCACTTTCAACATATATTACCCCACACACATACTCCCAGATCTTTAATTTATTCATACCAAATAAGATCAGATCCCAGAATTAAATGTTTAATGGCTTGGACTGCCATTAATTGAAATAAAAAAAAAGGTCAAAGCAGGCCTTCTGTCTGCTTATCTGGTCAGGTTTTATTTGATTTTTCTGTTGTGGAAATGTAGAGGTTTTCCACTCCCTGATACCCAGGTGTGTGTTGCTGTCTGAAAACTGGGATTTCAATCCACTGTGAACAATCATCGAATATTTGTTGCGTCTTGTTGCAACACTGGTGTTAAAGTTCTTTTTTTCTGTTGACTGACGTCCACTGCCGACCACATTGTACGAGCGTGTTTGTGCTCAGCCTTCAGAAAACTTGAAAGAGACGTTTCTTTTTCTCTTGGACAAGATGCTAAAGAGCTATTTTAACAGGTCTCACAGCTGGAAGCGGGAACCTACCATATTCCTGTGGTCTGTTATCTGTAATAGAGTGTCTTCCATACTGCTACTGATCTCACTGACCATTTTAATAAGACAGCCCAACAGGGAAGCTCAGGGCTTAGACACATGACAGGTCCACTTGAGCTGCCATGAATCACCCTTCACTTCCACCAGCCCAGCTGCAGAAATTGCACGAGTTACAAATTTCTGAAGTTACCAAGTGAATCACGGTGGGCTGAGATCACCTGAGCTTCTGTTCACCAAACTATAAAATCCTCGGGGTTCATTTACACTGAATGATGCCAAGAACAACAATAGGTGATCATTATTTCTGTCTTACACATAGCGACGGCTAGTACAACTTCCCAAGGAAGATTTTTGTATTGATATTGAGTTGGTTTGGTTGTTTTGCCTGTGTTTGCTTCCATATTTATACAGTATTTAAAGTGCCGGACAACATTGCATGTGCTTTTGCTCGAGAAACATTGGAAGCTGGAACACTAAAATTTAGTCCTGGTTTGTCACCAGTAAAATTCGAATTCACAGCCTGGAGAATTAACAACTGGGAAAACTTTGAAATAAATTTGAATATGTATTCACGGTTTACGTCAAGCACATTTAATCCATTGCAGGTGTTCTAAAATTGTTTTACTGTATCAGCCAGATAAATACAACTCGATAAACCTGTTACTAATTGCTGCTAGAAAATGCTGTGCAAAATGGTGATCAGTACTTCTTTTTTACCCGTGAAGGTATTTATGGAAACAAATTCCATTGCTCCAGTTGAGGATTTTTACGCCCTCATGAGTAATTTTTTAAACCTGCTTCTAAGTAGAAAGTTTCCTTATCCCTCCCTATTTTTTTATTATCTTTGAAAGATTCACATTTTTCTTGTTTGATACAGATTAACAGAATTCTTTACTGCTCGGTTTGTCTTATTTTCTACATTCCGTAATGCAGTTATTTAATAGGTCATACAGTAGGTCTAAAGGGAATAAAACAAGTCCTTAATGGAGATGTTTAGACACTTGGAAACCATTGGCATCAATCTTGCACTGCATACTGTATGTATCTAATTGATATGCAGGTCCTGTGTATATGATTCATTAAAATTATCCCTGAGAGAGATCGTATGTGCTCAGACCCTACAAGTTGTCGAAGATGGCCTAGCAATCACAGCGTGAAAAAGTGTTAAATTACTGAATGGTCTCAAACAAATAAATAGTGAAGCCCAGCTGGAGTAAACAGACAATATACTCTTCTGGGGTGCTACGTGTTGGACACTTGATTTTAATGCTAATAAATTACTTAATGGAGATTCGGCCGTGGTTACACTTGAACAGACGTTTCCTTCTCTAGCAAGCTTTCTGTAGGGCATCTAGCTGTCATCTGTTGAGAATCAAATTAGTAAAGCAGTGCCTTCCTATTTAGTTGATTGTCAAGGTGAAAAGCAATTGAGTTTAGCAAAGACATAGGTTTTTTGAGGTGGTATCCAATTTAAAACAAGACCAATTTTTCAGTGAGTGCAATGAAGGTTAGATGAATGAAATACAGTAACACTCCTCTAAATGTCAAAATTGAACTTTGAAATTTGAAAAAATACACTTCTTTGATCACACAGGCTGCCCAGGAGGTTAATCTTGTAGAGAAAAGATTAAAATATCTGCAGTGTCAGAAATATGCCTGTTAAATACATAAACGTTCTCTGTTCCTTTTTTACCCTCTTGATATGGGGGTGGGTTTAAACTTGGCAGTTCTTGTAGTTCTTGGTTAGTAGCATGATGAATGTTTGTACAGACTCTAAACATTATTTAATGTCATCGCACCTCGCACATCAGTGAAGTCACTGAAGGCCAAGCGGAAAGATCTGCAAACCTTACTTCTTTCTGTTTGAAAAAATACATTGAAACAGCTAGTAGTATGATTAACTGCCAGGAATAAACACACCCTTAAAGAGTGCTCTTTTCTCTTTCCCTTCCAGAGTGACCTGTGGTCGTTAGGAATTACAGCCATAGAGATGGCAGAAGGAGCCCCACGTGAGTACATTCTCACAGTTTTTAGACTTTTACTCTTTTATACCTTTATTCGGGTATGTGAAAGAAAGAGGCAGTCCTACCGCGCATAACGGAGAGCAGTAAGAAATAAATATATTACTGAGAGATCGGCAGTTACAAAGATGATAGATCTGCTTGAGTAATTTTATCCATGCTAAAACAGTCACAAATTAATGTCTAGATCCTGGTATTTCTTGACTTTGTGCCTGCTTTGCTACTAATAAAGAAACAGGGTTGCAGACGCTGGTTGTAGAATTCTGGTGGAGTGAGAGGCAGCCCTGACAGCTACTCAGTGTAAAAGTTGATGGGGTGATCTCGATAACGTGGGGCTTCTTTGAGTAGGCTGACAAGGAAATGTGTAAGTGTCTCAGGCGGTGAGGTACAGAACCAGGCCATCCAGCACTATTGATACTGAAAAGAAAAAACAGTGTCTTAGCTTGACTGACAGCTACCGATACACTATGGGTTTTTTTCCCTTGAGTTCCCCTGTGTGAATTTCTCAACAGCTTTACTTTCCAGTGCACATACTGTAGCTAAAGGACTGTTTGCCTGTGCTGCCAAGGAAGTGCACAGGCTGAGATATCTTGCGTTCTAGTGTTGGGGTCTTTTGGTCCGGTGTTGAAAAATGGCAGCATGCAAGAACAGCAGTTATAAGTGGGCCTGCATAAAGGGGGACAGTTGTATCATTATGTCGAGGATTTATAGAAAGCTACAAAATATGCTGAACAGTTACCCCAAAGGATGCGTTTTGAGCGGGCTTTAATGTCTCTTATTCAGAAACCTGTACCATTGAAAAATAAGTGTAGGACTTCTGTCTGAAACCAGGGCAATTATTTGTAGTTTTGTTTTCGACAGTTACATTAAGTATTAGTTCTAGACTGACCACATTGTGAATATCACTGGCGTTATGTAATATTTTTTTCCTAAGAAAAGCTAATGTCTTTCTCCCTTACCCATTCTATAGTCTTAGTGATTGGTCTGAGGGGTATTGTACAGCTCACAATATTGCCAGCTGGAGATGAATTTGTTTCATATTCAGAAAGCTTGGTTAGTTATTATTCTTAAAGTTAGTTTCTCATGCTTTAATTTAAATTTGAATCCATTTATAGCACTTTAGAGAAACTTATTGGAACATCCTGAAGGAAGCCTCCTGTTTAAGGGCACAATAGTGCCTCACTGGGAATCTGAATCTACAGCCGTTCAGTTACAATCCAGAGCCCTGTCCAAAATGACTGTGGTTACTTGCAGATGGGAAGATTTCTGTTAATTAACTCAGAGCAGCTCAGAAACAAACGTGTTTTTGCATTAGCACAGCCAGATAGATGCTCTCAATGTGGTATCATCTTTGGAACTGTTACCTTCTGTCACACCAAGAACTCCTGTTCCATTAGGCGAATGGTGATACCTGTTGATCCTAAAAGCTGACACCTTTGCAAGAACTCTGGAAACGCTTAATAAGCAACCTCAGCTTTCACTGTAGACCAGTTGATTTTCGCTGAATAAATACCTGCAAATTAAAAATCTAAATTTAGAGCTACTTTCTTAAACCTAAAAATGGTTGAGATTCGAAATGAAAGTTTTTGAAATGGCAAAAGCAGTGTTGGGGAACAGTTAAAAAGATGTGCATTTGTCGATCCTGAAATGGCAGATAGAAGCTTTGTTAGATATTGAAATTTGTCTATAATTGCAGCTGCAGATTGATTTAATTAGGCTGTCTGTGTTTGGTCTACACTATGTAAGCCCTGTTATTTTTTTCCATCACTTAGAATTTAAAGAAAAAAGAGTCAGTGGAAGCCTATTGTCTTGAAGTAGGGCGAGCTGTGTTTTATGTGAATATTATTTCAGTAATGTGTCCTTAAAAATAAATGTATGAAGGTAATAAGTGCAAAAAGAGCATAATATGACCATGAGTCATCGTGGTATCCTGTGGCCCCCAGAAGTGAGGAGAATGTTAAACTAGTACAGCCAAACTTATGGTCCAGAAATAATCACTCTTCTCTGTAGAGTAGTCCCTCAGGCAGTTTTTTTCTTTTGTTCTTTTTTCATAATTTCTTTTTCTGATTTTTCTATAGTACTATCTCCAGGAGGTTAGACAGTAGGCAATAGGAGATAAGGGGGAACTGTGGCTGAAACAAAGTGTGTTTTGTTTGTAGAAGAAGGTGATTAAAGGGGCTGGATCTGGGGACATGCTGAATACACATCTTTCAGGAATGCTAGCTGGTGAACGTTTTGCAGGACTAGTTCATAATGTCAGATCATCAGGATGACTGCAAATGAGAGGAGGTCATTCAGGACATCATGCTAGGCTCTGTATTAGTCATATCACCAGTATTGGTCATCCGCTCTCCCCTAGAACAGAACAATATAGAATAGATTGCATGTCTTTGGGGGATCTGAGAAAATTAGAGCACAGAGTACACATGAGGAGAGAATACAGTGCCTTCACATCACACATCACAATGTTCCCCCAACAAAAATGCATTAAAATGCAGCATCATTTGAGGTGTACTTGTAATGGTCTTATTTATTAATACGTCTGCTATATTAATAATTGGTGGATTTTGTATAGTTGGAGATGGCTAGATTTGATTATTGGGTTGAATTTTGAAGTTCTCTCTATGCAAAACTGTAGGGTGCTCTTTTCAATGTTTCTGATTTTTTTTCCCCAACAGCTCTGTGTGACATGCATCCGATGAGAGCTTTATTCCTTATCCCAAGGAACCCCGCCCCAAGGCTGAAATCAAAGAAGTGGTGAGTTTCTACCGCTTCTACACCTCTTCTCACCAAACAGACTGAATAAATCAAGATGAATGAGTTCACCAGCCATTCATTATGTTGAATTGCTCCTTGATTTGTGTTGTTTTGTATCAGTCTCCAGTACCTCAAACAGTCCTGCTGTGACGGCTGGGATGATTCTGAATTTTATAGAGTTGCGATTTTGATGAAAGAAAAGGACCCCAGAATTCAAGTCCTACATTGAAGTGATTGTCAGTACTGCCAGTGCACTTTCTGTTTGGAAAGGTCTTGTGTAGAAGATGACATACTGTACACCTGCAATGTTTTGAGATTTGCAGAGTCTAAATGTACATTTAATAATAGTTGGTAGTGTTTCTTTGTTTTGGTACCTTCCAGAAGAATAGAAAAGAAATCAGTTAAAGTAGAAACCATGCTGGTGTGCTTCTGAATATATCGGGAAAACTTAATGTTCAAGTGCACAAGATTACTGGGTGTCCGTTTTATGTTTTTTTTTAACAGATAAGTCTCCGACTGCATGTTAAACAGTCAAGATTAATCGAAACACTGCCATTTAATGAACCAGAAATCTCCACTGCGCAGTATCTTAACCGTTACCTAAAAAATAGAAAGAGGGCAGGCAGACCAAGGAACAGGGAAGGCTAATTGAAGACGCAGAGGCGCTCGTTTTTAACTAGCGTTGCTCCTGGTCCAGGTCGAAGAAGTTCCAGTCGTTCATCGAGAGCTGTCTGGTGAAGAACCACGGGCAGCGGCCCAGCACAGAGCAGCTGCTGAAGCACCCCTTCATCCGCGACCAGACCAACGAGAGGCAGGTCCGCATCCAGCTGAAGGACCATATCGACCGCACCAAGAAAAAGCGGGGGGAGAAGGGTGAGCCCCCGAATCCTAGCCTCATCCCCCCGTTCTCTTGCAGGGGCTGTGGCCAGTAGCTCAGCCAAAGCGCCCAAACTGGGCCCCCCTTTCATTTCACGATGACTAGCACCATAATCGTCAGCCGGGGCTGAAATGATCAAATTGAGCTGTGTGGGTAATGCAGGAAGACGTTATTACCAACTGTGATATTCTTGGTGGGGCAGGTTTCAGTGTTTATGCCAGTCTTGCACTATTTTAAGTGCTTAACACCATATGTCTTTGTTAATAGACTTCTTACAAAAGAGATTTAGCTTTCTTGTGGATGTAGCAGATAGTATAATAATTGCTTTGCACACCTGTTGTTTTCAGAGTTCCTGGGAACTAGCTCTAAAGCTATATTTGGGTTTTATCGTGATTTTGGCAAGACTTTACAATTGAAAATGGATTGTGTGAAGGGAAAACGTAACTTACATGTCAGAAATGAGCAGGACTTTCTGCATTCCTGCATTAAATTGAAACCACACGTAAAATTACTTTTTTGGCAACTACTTGAGTGTACTCAGAGTAGTCTAATTAAAAATGGTGGCCCCATTTTTTTAATGATGCTTTCAACACGTCAGGCTCGCATGTTCTAGAAACACTGAATCATATGTGGTGTGCTCCTTAAATACGTACTCTTCTGTCGTATTTATTTCAGCCATTTTTGACACTGCAGATCTCGGTTCTCTTGTAAACAGTAGCTGACTTTGGAATTTCTGGTATAGACAGGTGTGCTTTCTGCTCCATACCGTTTCCTCACTGGTCTCCTCCTAGGTAAACTCTGCTGTTTTCTCAGTAGGACAAACTACAAAACCAACATAAGATGATTCTTGTTGGGTTTCACAGTTAAATCAAAAAGGGTGTGAAATTCCCAGTCTTTTTCCATTTAAGTTGCTAGCTTCCATGTTTGGGAATATCAGACAATTTGTGTTATTGTGTATTCTTTGCTAGTTTATTTCTAAATTATTTCTTCTAAAATTTAAAGACCGAAAAAGCAGTTGCTCCTTGTAAAATTAAAATTATGGTTAATGATGGTTAAAATTCAGATGGCTTAGGTATAAACTAGGCTTAACTGAATATTAAACTAATTTTGAACATGAAGCCAATATTACCACAGTGCAATGAGTTTTTGGTTATGTGTTGATTTACAGTAGGTCAAAGTCCAGAAACATTTACTGTTTTGTGTCATGAAATGCAGAATTAAAGTAAGGTCTCATTAATACCAATTTTAATTGACATGCTGATTAATGCATTATATTCTTACAGATTATTTGAGATATAGAGGGAATCTTGTAAGCAGTCATTCTTATCCTGAAATATCTTTATATATTTTTTTGCAAAACAATTTGTGGTACTGCACATCTAGGAACCTGGGTCATTTGCAGCTTATAAAACTTTTAATCCATTATACAAATCCAGAGGGTCTCAAAAGAAATGTGTTGTTACACTGCCACAGTTCTGTTAAAGCTAAATTTAGCTACTTCAATTGATATTGAGTTAAAGTAAGTTGAATCTTAAAACAGGACAAGATAAATACTGTTAAATGGTTTGATTATACATTTTAGTGTTCTCTGTGGCAGTAATGGACAATTGGAACACTTCCAAAGAAGGGCTTGCTTGAGTCTGACATTTTCTAGCTTTGTGTTGCTTTTTTAAGCAATAGTTATGGTGAAGGCTGAAATCCCCCTAAAAATTGAAGAGATTCAGTGAGTGTTTCTTTTTTCCTTATACGTTTGATTTGTGAAGTAGCTTATATGCATTTTATTTCTTTGTATGTAAATTCCCCTTGGAGTTGTATTGTTTGCTTTAAAAATTGCACTTTTTTTCCTTTTGAAAAACATGGCATCAAAGACTTCGAGTCTGCATGTAGCCCAAGCCCGTTGACTACTGCTCAGTGGATTTCACCATAAGAGTCTACAACAGTCTCCTTTTGTCCAGAGACTAAAAAATGTAATATAATGCTCAAGGTGTGCGTTTCCTTCTGCCTTTGTTTCAGATGAGACTGAGTATGAGTACAGTGGGAGCGAGGAAGAGGAGGAGGAGAATGAAATGGGAGAACCCAGGTAAGGTCGTCTGTACACCTTCACTTTCCTCACATCTTAAATTGGCGAATCAAGATGACAAGACTGTATACTTAGCTAATTGTGACAGGGTGGGTAATGATGAACCTAAAAAGTCCACAATCATTACAGCTTCTATAAATTGTTATTGTATTTTTCATCTGGCTTGCTCACAGTGCTGAAGGAACCTACTTCATGGGTGGTCAAGATAATTGGGGTGGCCTCCAATGCAAAAAAGAATAATAATACTTCATGCCTAAACTCAACCTTAATATTCCATTGTTTGCATTTGCTGGGTATTGGTAGGATTGATGCGTCTTAACACTGAAACGTTTTCCATATTGTCTTTACACGGATAATAGCTAGAGGTTCAGTGTGTTGGCTTCTGTGGCAGGGTCTGTTTCCATATTTTGAAAATGTGTGCATCTTAAGCAGTTAACACCTCTGCCAAGGAAGGAGGACAATATTGGGTATAAACAAGGGTAATTGCTGTCTCCTGCTTTTGAACATGAAGGGAAACAGGAAACGACAGGGTGCGTTCAGGTCAGGCTCTCGTTGTACATCCACCAATAATATCACATTGCTTTAAGGAGACAAGAAGCCAAGCTTGTGGCTGCAATTCTTTGTTGTTTGTTTTTTACTCTGGAAACACTTTGGTCCAGACATGACTCTCATGATTTTCTTCTTTGAAAAAGATCTGAATTGGCATCACTGTGGATAGTTGTCTCTTGGACAATCTCTGTAGACAATCCAGGTACTGTTTCAGAAGGCAGAGCGAGAGAATTGGAGTATAAATCTTGCAAGCTGAGTCTTTATTTAATATTCGTTGCTTTTGCCCACGGGACATCACTGAGCTAGTAAACCTGAGAAGATCAATTTCGCCTTGACAATTTTTCATTATTATTACCACTGTTATTATTTTCTGTTTGAAGAGAAGAGAGTTGGTTAAGTGTGGAGTTAGAGGTATTATCTTAGTGTGGAGCAGTGGTGAGGGCTCTGGATTTCACTCAGAATTTAAATCCACAATCCTGCTATATGAACTGCTGCTATTACACCTTTGAGTAAGGTATTTCATGAACATTACTGCAGTAAATGCCCCGCTGTGCAAATTAGTACTCTCTAGGTCATCATTGTAAAGGAGTGTTTATTCTCAATTGATGCATCTTGTTAAATAATAAAGGATTAAAAATATCACAGAGCAACAGACATGAGTTTTTTTTATATGTCAGCAGTAGCTCCACAAAGGACAATGCAAACTTGAATAATCTGAGTTTCTTAAGGCAGGTAGTTTGTGTAAGGGTAAACTGAGTCACCTTTTAAAACCCCTATGGTTTCGAAGCTAGGTGCACTCTTTGCACAGCTAAGCTTGGCACTGACTGGAGAGCCCACATGGAGGCCTCCATCACAACAGGCGAGTTGAGACCATTTTCCTCCCTCTTTGTAGCTCCCTCATCAACATCCCTGGTGAATCCACATTGAGGAGGGACTTCCTGCGCCTTCAGCTAGCCAATAAGGAGCGCTCAGAGGCCCTGCGAAGACAGCAGCTGGAGCAGCAGCAGAATGAGGAGCACAAGCGCCAACTTCTGGCTGAAAGACAGAAGCGCATTGAGGAGCAGAAGGAACAGAGGCGAAGGCTGGAAGAGGTAAGGAGTCACTTTACTATACTATAGCTGGTACAGTCTTGCTGTGCATCATAATCATTTTTCCAGGGTCTGAAAAGGAAACATAGTTTTTTACCCAGTATAATTGAACTTTTATTGCATCTGGGAACACTATACTGTAAAACAGGCGCTGTCCTTCAGATGAGACATAAAACTGAGGTCCCCACAACTATGTGGTCACTAAAAATCCCAGGGTGATTCTCAAAAAGAGTAAGGGTGTTCCCCTGGCGTCCTGGCCAAATTTCCCATCCGCCCTAATCATGGCCTCCTAATAATCCCCATCTATGAGTTGGCTTCATCACTCTGCTCTCCTCCCCACTGATAGCTGGTCTGTGGTGAGCATTCTGGCACACTATGGCTGCCGTCACATCATCCAGGTGGGGCTGCACACTGGTGGTGGTGGAGGGGAGTCCCCATTACCTGTAAGGCACTTTGAGTGGAGTGTCCAGAAAAGTGCTGTTCTAAGTGTAAGCAGTTATTTTTATAAGGCCCAATTTCTATTATCATGCAAAGCATAGTGCTGATGTTAAGTCATTATATCCAACACTGTTCAGGACCATGCTCAGATGCTTGATGTGGGCAAAAGAATGGCTTTACTGTACAGAAGCCTATGTAAATATTAACACTGCCTTGAAAGGCCATGTAAAAGTCTATAGAAAAGTTGATACAACAAAGGACAATAGTTCATCATAGTTTTTTGTAATGATAGACAATTATCATCCTTTTGAACATATTTTACCAAGGTTATGACTGCATTTACAGTTTTTGTCGAGAAGCAATTTTATTCAAAATCTCTAGTAACTCCAGCGCGTGGATCGCTCAGACAGATAATATGGGCTATTTGCACCATGGATTTGATTCTCTGTGTTTTGTTTTCTTTGAATTTAGTTCAAATTCAAACAGGAATTATAATCAGGATTTCACAGCAATTATGAAATCACTATTTACACTTGTAGGATCCATAATAATAAATAAATCCATAATAAAGTAATGAAATATTTACTGGATTTAATGGATACCTTTTTATTGTATTATTTGAAGTATTCTACTTCAGGGCATCAATATAACCCTTCAGAAGGTGAAGATCGAGTTGCCATCTCGCAGCATTTCAGTCAGAGCGGCAGAAATCTTTCCCCGTCGTGTCTTGGCTGTCTGCAGTAATAAATTACTGTTGAGAAAATGATTAATTCGTAAACTGTTATCATCTGTAGTTTCTTGATCATTGTAAAAATAATCCTATCACCCAGGAAGAAATTGAACTTCATAAAACGAGTAGCACTGACAACACGCCTACTGAACCACTGCAGTTGGCTGAAATTCCATTCACGAGAGAGATATGTTCTCTCTTCGTCTTGTACCCTAGCCTGCTGAGATTGACTCCAGCTTCACTGTGCCTTTTCACTGGGATGAAGTGGCTTTAGGATAATGTATGTACATACCATAGTGCTCCAACATTAATGAATACAAATAACTCGGCCCCCCCCCCAAAAAAAAACACACATTTGATTAACATAGTCAAGAACATATGCACTGCCAGCTCTTACAATATGTGCTGGACAGTTTTTCATTTTGATTGATTTCATTGTTTTTTTTTTGCCTTTTGTAGTCTTTTATGTTGCACTTCAAGGCAGCATTAATATTTCAGGAAGGCTCTGTGAGGTCAGGCCAGATTTTACCCACATCAGCAACAGCATCTGAGCTTTGCAACTAATCAGTGATGCCGGAATGTTTGTGCTTCAGTTTATGCTATGAAGGAAATGTCCCTGTATCTCACCCCCCACCTTAATTCTTAGGGGGTAATTCTTGGTGGTAAAAGTGCATTGCTGATTTGCTTGAGAGGTTGTACACTGACCACAGTGTACAGAAGATTCTTCGTTTTTAGGTGTTTTTTTTTTAGGAGAAAGGTGTCTTTTGAATAGTAAATGCCAGTAGTTTCAAAATCTGGAGCGCAATATCTCTGGCCAGAGCATGGGCAATTTGCCACTTGTTCCACAAAGAGTGACGTCTGTTTGCACTGTGATGAAGTCCCTCCTGGCAGTGGAAGCCAGGATTAAGTAAACCCAGCCAACTATATGGGGTCAGCAATACAGCTTTGCTCCGATTACCAACTGTGCTTTCATAGTAACTTTCCCATACTTGTATACTTCTGAATGGATTGATTTTGTCTCATTCTGAGAGCAGAGAGTGCAGAAAATGTCATAAATTGTACACTGCTGTGTCATTGTTTTGAACTGAAGTGTAAAACCCGATTACATGTTTAGTTTTGTTTCAGGGGGAAGGGAAGAGGAAATTATTTTTTTTTCAATTAGTTCTTAGCAGAGCCCCAGTTTCTATAGTAAAATGCCTCCTGCTGTAGTTTGTACATGAACGTAATGGAAACCTGCCTTAAATGGGAACTTTTAAACAGCTGTTTTTTTACAAATGAAAGCAGCGTAAGTGAAGCTAATTTGAAATTTAAAAATGAGAAACAGTGGAAGTGGAAAAAGTTAGTAACATTTCTTTTATGTATTTTTACACAGTATCTCAATATCACAGTGTAAATTTTCATGCTCAAAATGTAATATTAGGAATGTTCTTCAGAACTTCAGGCTTCCCTGTTGCAATATGCAAAAACATGTTCTAACTGTTACTTTCTAATTAAAACGTGTATTATTAACTTTTATTAAAACTGTTCAAGTACAAAGCTCTTGTTTTGTTGAAACATGCATGCAATTGTGTGAGAGCTTGGCAAACCTGGAGTTTGTCTGTGTTTCTTACTTATGAAAATAAGTGTGCATGTAAATATGTGGGCGAAATGTGTCAAGGATGACTAAGTACATCTCCCAGCTATTGTGAAGAGGCTGCCATTTGCTCTAATACAGAAGTGTTTGACTCTTGGTTTACTCCTAACATTGGCACTGTGTTTTTCTGTGTCTTGCTGTGCTTTGTGGTTAGAACACTCTGTACTGACATGACAGCTTCAAAATAATGATTTTTTTAGCCAAAGCACTGATTTCTAAATTTAAACTCTTTCTGCTCAAAAACAGTAAACCTTTTCTGGTTTCAATTATAGAATTTTATCTACTGGACTAACAGCCCATGTAGGCTGTAGTTTTGTCTTGATTCCAGGATAGGCTCCAAGTTGCTATGATTTTGTGCAGGACTGAGCTTTTTTTCATTTTGGGTGGAATGTTATGTACTAAGTAAAAATGCTGCATGAAAGAAAAAATGTGGTACTATCTGCTTTTAGATTGGCATAAATGCATTTGTCAATTACTGTATTCAGGCCCTTGCACAGTTTTCACGTTTTGTTGCTCTAAATCTTGTAATCATGGCACTTTGAAATAGCAATTATTGTTATATAGTTACATACACAGTCTAGTCTACACATTCAAAGCAAAAAGCAAAAATAGATAATATGAAAGGAAAATGGATTTCTTTAAACAAACCCTGTGGTATGGCAAACTATAAAGTTACCTTAAGAAGCCTTACAGGTGAGTCACCCCCGTTTTGTGCCATAATAGTGGTTCATGTGATTTCACACTAGAAATACCTGTTTTAGGTTCTGTGAGGTTCCTTGGACAGATAGTGAACTTCAGGGAAGGCTTCAACCAGACTAACAAGACTAAGGAGTTTTCGAAGCAAGTCAGGCATGAAGAAATTAAAGTGCACAGATTAGGAGAAGGGTGCAAAAATATCAAAGTCTCTGCATATCTCTATGAGCACAGTCTACTCAGTTGTCAATAAATGGAAGGTGTATCGTACCCCCTTGAGACTGCCTAGATCAGGCTCTCTCCAAACTGAGCAGCCAAGCTAGGAGGAAGCTGGTTTGGGATGCCAATGGCAGATCTGAGCCACAGAGTTCAATGGCTGAGACAGCGCAAAATGTGCAACAGACAACAATATCCCGACCACTTCAAAAATCTTGCCACTGTAGCAAGGGGGCAAATTCGCTTTGTATCCCACATTGTTTAAGTGTTACTGCAGTGCATGGCCGAGGACTTGTAGTCGGATAAGATCAAATTAGAACTTCTGGTATAATTGCAAAGCTTTTCGTCTGATGCAAGACAAACACAGCACAACACCCAACCAATGTCATCCCTACAGCTGAGCATTGTAGTGACAGCCTCAAGGCATCGGGGGTACACTTCTCAGAAGGGGTTGAAAATCTTGTTAGAACTGAAGGAAAAAATAACGGAACAAAGCGCAGGCAAATACTAGAAGAAAACCTGTTTCAGCGTGGTAGACTTCAAACTGGCCCAGTCAAAGTCCTCACTTGAATCCTTCTTAGAATTTGTGGAAAGACTTGAAAACTGCTGTTCATAAGCGATTACCAAGCAGCCTGAGAGAGCTTGAGCAAATCTGCTAAGAAGACTGGGCAAAAATTGCTCAAAGTTAGTGTGCAAAGAAGGTAGGGAGTACTGCTAATGGTGCTTCCACTAAATACAGAGTTCTTGAATCTGAATACTTATGCCATCAATGCATTAAGGGTATATATGTGTATATATATTTTTTTCTTTAAGAAATGCCTTGATTTATCTTGAATTACCTTGCTTTTGATTAACTTTTCTTGGGTTCCAAGATTCATGATGTTGCTCCATACGCTGAGATTTTACTTTCCTTTTTGCACTGTAGCAGATGTGATGTTAATGTTATACATTAACATAACTTATTATATGAGACGATGAATAATTCAGTTCATTGCCTAATAAAATTAAGCCAAAACATGCTAGAAACGGTCCGCTCAACCATAAATAAAAAGATAAATAAAATATTTAAAGCCTGAAAATTAATCTGTATAAATTGTATGTGACACTTTTATTGAGATATTGTTTTATTAATTTGTTCAGTTGTGTTCTTTTATGTAAGTATTTTTTCAGCAGAATGTATGTTTCAAGCTTTCCAATGTGCTTAGTTCACAACAGAAATCCGTACACCCTGTGGTATAGGATGTGCTTTCATAGGAAACCTGTGGCTTTTCTCACCTGATCAACTAACGTCGCTGCAGACAGAACGAACCTTCTGTCTCAGATTTATACTGCGTGACACTTTTCATTCTGTCGTGTCACGCCAGCAGAGGGACTGAAACAAAGGTCTTCAGCTATGCAAATAAAAAAAAATGCTTCCTGCAAAAGCGCTCCTTTTTGATTCATAATTGCAGAATAATTTGACTCCTGAAGTGCAATAATGAACGTTCCGGACAG